AAACCAAATTCCCAAAAAGTGATACAGTAGTCATCACATCGAATCTTGCGATACGTGCATGGAGCATTAAATGTAGACGAAAAAAAACTAATTGCACAGTTTGGTTGGAAATCGCGAGACGGACGTTTTGAGCCTAATTAGTCCATGATTGAACACTAATTACCAAATAAAAACGAAAGTGCTACAGTAGCCAAATTCCTAAATTTCGCCCAACTAAACACAGCCTTACCGTGATTGCATCTTCGCAAGAGGTCCTTGAAAGACGCCTTCGCTGGAGCCATGATCGAATTTAGTACATCCTTCCTCTGCGTGCAGCCAGCATGAATCACTGTTAGCAAGCAGCCAAGCAGGGAAGACCTGAGCGGTGTCGGTCGGTCGTCGTCTCGTCAGTGGAGGCTAGCTTCTCTGATGCACTACCGTGCTCTGATGCACTACCGTGCTCGTCAGCAGCCAACTAACTTAACCTTGGATAAATCCGAGTAGTGCATGTACACACAGAGATAGAGAGTTCCTTTTTTTTTAATGGAGCTCATGATATTTGTCGTAGTTATATATTAGAAGCATACGTAAAAAAAAAGAAAGAAAAACAAATTCACAGGCGAAATCCAAATCACCCACACCGAGCTATGCAGAGCTCCCTGCTCCCAGACAACTCCTTGCCAAATACACACTCAATGGACAAGAACAACTAGAGCCAGGTGAAGAAAAAAAATAAAACTAGAAACACGTCTGCGCAGCAACAAGTCCGATCCAGACAAACAACAACCTCCTGCATAATAAATGAAGATCCATCTTCTGTGGCTCTTGATTTATTTTTTTGTAATAATATATATTACTATTTACATGTAGATTTCAGAGATTTTTTTGTTTATTTTTTATAATGGTTAAAGGTATGTACAAATATAACGGTAATACCTTATATTATCTTTTACAACGACATATATGGATATATTAAATTAAAACTTAAAATATTACTTTGCATATATTTCATAATGATAAAGGTGGATAATTTATAAAATCATTAGGAGCCATTTTAAATTATCTTTCATAATGAAAGATGCGGGTAATTTTGTCAGATTATTATTTTAAATTATCTTTCATAATGACAATGTGTTGATACGCAAAAGTGTTCTGCCATGGAAATTGTGTTGCACCGTTAAGTTTGTGACATAGACGACGTACTAGAAAATATTTGGTGTGACACAATTCAAAGGGCAAGGCAAGGAGGAGACGAAGACAGCACTGCCCCTGCATAAGTCGGCCAGGCCGACATCTAATCCCGGCCAGGCCGATGAAGCTGGCCCTGGCTACAATTCCCAGTGTCTCGGCATGTAGTTTGGGCTGCACCGTCATCTTCATAATATAAAGGACTTGCTAGAAAATATTTAACACAACATATAATTAGAAGCGCAAAGCAATAGGAAGAAGACGGTGGCGCACTGCTCAGGTCGGCTAGGCCAGTGTCCCAAGCCGGCTAGGCTAGGTCCGAGAGTCGTCTAGGCCGGGTTGGGGCAGCTGGTTCGTGAGCCGTCTCTACAAATCGACTTATTTGTAGGGGCGTCTCGTATCACCAGTTACTCCTACTGTGCTATTTTTTTTTTAGGGCGGCCGTCCTATGGATCCTGAGCACCTCCACTATAGGGATGGCTCCATCACCAGCCGCCTCTAAAAAAATTGTTCCGTTGCTACAGACATTTTTTTTATAGTGGAACAAAGGCGTGCATGCCTCACATGGAAGGCCGAACCTGGGCAAATGTGAGCATGCTTCACGTGGAACACTGAACCTGGACTTGTAAAATTACATACTAACAACTTGCCAACAAATGCGCGCATGCGTGCGTCACGTGGAACATCCAACCTGGACATGCGTGCGTCACCCTTTTGTTATTTGAATAGACCCGCTCTCAAAAATCTATCCTAGATCGAGCTGACATCTACAGACCTGCTGCTCCTTTTCCCATTTGATTGACACCATGGCCGTGCAATAACTAGTGCCGGTTCGGATACACTATTTTCCCTGCGGGCACGCAATTATATTGGCACAACCAGTGATGCTCCATTATCGATACACATCATGTAACTAGAGCAAGCATGAATAATCTGTTATTAGTGCCGGCTACAAAACCACCATGGATACAAGCTCTCCTAGTGGCGGCACAAAACCGGCAGAAAGGAAGGGTTTGGACTGTAGTAGCGCGACTTCACTGTATTTGCCAACCATGGTCTTGTTTTCTACATACTCCATGAATTAGCAACTGGAGTGCAATTATAAACTAGCAGTGCATCGATGTACAATAATTTGCATTGCCTTGTCCCTTAGGGTTTGGTTTAACTCGTAAGCCATCATTTGGTGAAGTATTGGCGTCCACAATTTAAGAGAGGAGTTGACAATAAGGAACCGATCCAATTCCAGAGATTAGGTGTACCGGTCAGGATCTAAACTATAAACTCTAAACTGTCGAACCTGCGAACGCCGAACCTTGGACTTTAGGGTCTAAACTGTCCAAGCTGCGTAAAATTACATACTAACAACTTGTGAACAGATGCGCATTTTCTTCACATGGAACACCGAACCTAGACTTCCGTGCAATAGGAATATTAACAGCACATGCATGCAGACCTGCTTCCCATAATCTTTGGATCCTAGATCGAGCTGACATCCACAGACCTGCACCCTTTTGTTATTTGATTGACACAAAGACTATATACAGGAGACTTACCAAGCCTCAGTGTTGGGAAGTTAATATTGTAACAAGTTAGGTCAGATGTCCACGGATAAAGAGGTGCGGTTGGTAATTGATGCCTTGTAAATGAAGAAGGCCAAGATGAAGGATGTTTCATGGGTTTTGTTAGTGATTACTTATGTTGTGATTGCAATTGTTTCAGTTTGCACGGAGTATTCAAATTTATTTTCCTTAATCCGATTTCAAGTGGTCGATTTGACGTGAGTGCTCGTATTTTCCTTAATTTATTTTAAAAATTAACGACGTTGTTGTTTCAGTGGTAGGCGATGTGCTTGCCGATAGCGGCGATTGTGGTCACTTTGTCAGTCTCGAGATCTGTTGGCCCAATCTTAGTCCTTCAGGGGTGCTCATAAGTGTAGGTTGAGTTGTTGATTTGACATGGGTGCTCGTATTTTTCTGGATTTATTCCAAGATTTAATGAAGTTGTTCTTTCAGTTGTAAGTCACTGTAATGTGTTGTAATCTGGTCACATTTTCTTCCAAAAAAATTACTTTTTTACTCGACACTACACCTTCCATAACTTGGAACTTATAACGTTATAGCTGCAGATATATCACTACTGGAATCTCGCTTTTTTCTGTGTGTGCGAAAACACACAGAAAAATGCGAATACCGTCAGAATTTTTTTTTCTGACGATGCACCTTCAGAAAAATACACACAGAAATATAATGACAAAAAATCGAATTTTTCTGTGGGTTCATCGTCAGAAACAAATTTTCTGTGGGTCTCACACGCACAGAAAAATTGTGTCGCCCAGATTAAAACTAATTTTTCTATGTGTTAATCCACACAGAAAAAAGAAATAAATGCACAGAAAAACACATGTTTTTTTTTCTGTCGGTCTAGGTGAACTCATAGAAAAATTCATTTCGTCCAGATTAAAAAAAAATATTTCTGTGTAGCCAGCCTCACAGAAAAAAAGAGTTAAACACACACAAAAAATTATTTTAAAACAGTAGCAACAACATATATATCATATATACAGATATGATATCTGGTCATCTACATGTTCAACATGAATACTACAATGAATTCACAAATATGGATATCAAAAAAGAAACCAAACTATTTTTTCTTGTTCAACCAGTGAAAAATTCACAAAGGAAGTGGAGGGCAAATTCACTGCACCATGGGATCAGGGTCCCAGCAGCAAGAATATCAAGCAAAGAGTTATGGGGCTCCAGCTCGTCATGCCATGGGGGTAGCTTGTCGCCAGGATAAAAGTTCCTCTTCACGCCATCGGCATTTATCTGCAGTGCAACCAAATTGAGTTTAATTTGAACTAAAAAAAGGTTTAAGCCAGGAGAACACAAGCATAGGAAATGGCAGTAAGAGATAAGTATAGGCAAAACACAAACACAGATTGCAGGTCATTGCATTCTTGCAGACTGAACATAATTTTTTTACAAGGTAAACCTCAAGAAAATGAAAACTGAGCAAATAGATAGAATTCACTGAGTGGATGTGGTAAGCAAGTGAGTGAATCAAGTAACAAAAGAGTAAACAGCATGGAGTCTAGCAGCATTGAGATAAGGCGCATTCCAATTGATCTTGTACCTTTGTTCTAATTCATTTTGGTACAATCATTTTTTTTGAAACTACAATCCATTTTATTAATTGACAGAAGAATGTACAACACCACACAAGAAGTTAAATGATCAAAAGTTATGATTTTCAGTTATAGCTGGTTGAGTTTCACTCCGAAAGCTATCAAAAGCATCATGCTAGATATAAGTGCCAAAACCAACATAAGACAATCCATGACACCCAACTAGTTCAGGTGATTGCTACATTTCAGTTTCTGGAGGGAACTAAGCATGAAAATTTGCACAAAAATAGAGATTGGTGCTTCAAGATCGTTCCACCAAGAGGGACCGAGAAAATTTGGCCTCCCTCATACTTATCCCATCCTCCAACAATCATGCCAACTTGCAACATGTTCTGGATATTAATAACAAAGATTAATTTTGTAGTTCAACAAGAGTTTAACATCAAATTCCGACACCAGGTGCTTATCAATGAGGAAAGTAAAAGAATGTTTTAACAGTCTGTGCTGGAATGCTATGGAACATACCTTGTTCTGATAAGCTAGCAACCTAATCAAGTTGGCATCTCAAGTAATTGTATACCATCATATTTATCAAAGTTAAGTATCATTCAATATATTCATTTATCAAATGAGTGATTAATGTTAGGTTGTGTATGAAGAACCAACTTACATGTGTTGGTGGAGGAAATAACGTACATAGTCCGAAATGACCTGTGTATCAGATTCTTGGGATGGCTGGAATGCTGTGCCTGCTGAGAACTCACAAGGTACTGCTCAATGGAAAGAGACAACTGATTCTGGTAACAAGGACTGTAAAGCGGATTGATGCCTACAAAAATTGCACCAAAGGGTCAGAACAGCCTTTTTCTTTTTGACAACACATAATGTCATAAAAGTTGGAGTACAAAATCAGCCTTTTTCTTAGAATTCTTACTCTTCTTATTCTCATCCATAAGACATGCCCTCTTGTTACTTGTAACTCCACTAAAAATTGGAGCAAAGACCTGACATGGATCTATTTGCCAAATCAGAGTAAAGAACTAAAGAAACTAGAAAGGGTGAGCAAAAGTTATCTGGGTTGAATGAGATGCAACCTCTTGGGTAAAAAACACACAGAAGGTATCAAAGGGTGAGCCGGCGTTAGAAATCATTGTTGAAAAAGATGATGCTATAAGCAATGGTGATGCCTAGAGGACAACAATTGATGCCTGCTTACCTGTACTTGACCTCATTGACACACGGAGGTCTATTCCATATGGCATTCAACAAGTGAGGGAACTTATTGGCATCTCATGTGCCTTTAATCAAGTTGTGTAGGTTTGTCAACCAAGCATGTTTTAATATTAATGGTTAAGTCATCTGTTTTGCTTGCAGCAACACCACAGGGACATTTATTCCCCACCCAAGGACTTCTGGGGATTGGTAGATCTTGCCTTGTTTAGGATAAGTGTCTATTCTAGTTTGATTGGGTTAATTAGATATTCTGAGGTGTTGTATAATACTTAAGTTGGAGAGCAAAATATTCAGAAAGGCAGCTCATGGGAAAATGGCACAACAATGAACTCAAGTTGGGAACAAAATGCTAGTGCTGCGAATGGTTCTGGTGACTGGGGAGGCTGGGGTAGTGGAGTTGGAGCTGCTGCAAAGCCAGCAGATCAAGATAATTCATGGGAAGTGCATGCTAAGGTGCCAGACAATTCCACTGATTGGGGAGGCTGGAGTAGTGGAGGTGGAGCGGCTACAAAGCCAGCAGATCAAGATAATTAATGGGAAGTGCATGCTAAGGTGCAGGACAATTCCACTGATTGGGGAGGCTTTGCTTGGAATGCTGGAGATGGAATTGGAAGACCAAATGCCAAGTCTAATGCAGGATCCAGTTGGGGTGAGAAAGATAAGATGGAGCCTGATGTGCATCGGAAAGTTCCAAAAGAATCAGACACATGGAGTAATCTGCCGCAAAAGACTCCTGGGGTAATCTGGCTGCAACACCAGTGAGCAATTCAGATGCTACCAACTCAAGATAGTGTCTGATAGCAACTACCAACTCAAGATAGAGCTATTCACTTAAATTATTTGGGTCATCTCATATTGGCAAATTCCCTGAATGCCTAGTATGCCTAGCTGGGTTCACCAATACCATCTTTGTTGACTACAATCACATAGTGTGCTCCATCTGTTGCCTATAGATTGTTGACTACAAAAATAATTTAATATTGCACCTAGTAGGCACTTAAAATAGAGAAGACAAAACAGCATGAACATCAACTAAGAGCAAAAATGAAGTGCACCGAGTAATCTTACATGTCACTTTCATCTTCCTTAAGCATAATAGGGTATGCCTGTTTTTTTATCAACAATGGCATACAAAAAAAAGGACTAACATCAAGGCAGGTGCTATCTCTGCATACCATGATATAACTTGAATGATGATAGTGCATACTAAGAGAATTGTACAATAAAAATCAGTTTTGTAACTCGGGTCTTGTTTGCAGTGTTGCACACAGTAAAAAAGGTGGAATTAGAAAGAAGCATACTCCTAATACACTAAAGCCTATATGCAGTGCTGTGTAAAATACTAAAATAGTCCATATAAAAAAGGTAGAATTAGAAAGAAGCATACTCCTAATACACTAAAGCCTATATGCAGTGCTGTGTAAAACACTAAAACAGTTATATATGGTCGATTACCTGAAACAACATCAAGGCAGCAGTAGTGCAAAAAATCAAGACTAGTCGTTTAACAAAATTCAGTCCACAACCAGCAGCTTTAGCAATGTCAAAGTAAATTTAATCCATCAATAAACTTAGAAACAACTGTGCTTTAGCAAAGTGGAGACAGCTTAGTACCTTTCATCTCTGGCAATATCCTGTGCTACCTGCCAAAAAGATTGTGAACCCATGAATGTAAATTAATAACATCAATTAAATCAGATAGATATTGCACTATAATCAGGTTAAAGGAACTAGACAAAACTGTAATAAGGAAAGAACTATATGACAATGACCAAACTAAGACTAAGTTCATTCAATCAAAGAACAGAGATTAACTCTCAAGTCACAAGCCAGTTTGATTTACACACAATGCCATCTACTGATAAACAAGAAGGATTATCCTCTGACCAATGAGTTCATCATTTCCTAAGTTACAGAAATTATTTCACACAGAACCACAGAACAACAGTGATATGCTTAAGCAAGTTGCTTACCTACTCCTTTCGACAAAAGTATTCCAAGTTTGGCTCTAATACTTCCAATGCTACACAAAGATGAAACTGTGTCAGGCTTCATAGGCATAGGATTGCAATGAAGTGTACAAAATTATAGGCACAATACATTATCTTTTACACTTTCAGGAGTAGAGGACCTAAGTACATTACCTTCCATTTGGCCGTTGGCAATCCAGTTCTGATATAGTATCCTGTGTATTGGGTGCAGAAGCATGACTACTAAACAACGGCCTAGCTTTGCAGGTGAAAAAAAAAATCCTAGAGAAGCTAGGTGGCTATTACAGAAGCATGATTGAAATACAGCCTAGCTTTGAAAGTTGTCATAAAACATAGTTTTGCAATTTAGTTAACCAAATCAACTTGGATTATAATTCCTGGCCGATAAAAACATGCCTTAAAATGTTGGTATTTGGTAAAAAAAATGTATTAGTCAAATACTGAAAATAGGATAGTACAGATTTTTCAACATGTATTGCTCTGGTAAAAAAATCAGTACTAGTTATATTAACAAAATTCAATCCACGTCCTACAGCACACACATGGGATTAGATCAGATCTGTTCTGAATACACATAACCAAATAGCTTAAATTAGGGTTCATTCTCAAATTTGCACAAAAGGGAAGAGAAGGAACATGCATACCTGGCTTGTGTTGTGGGTGCTTGTCATTGGCAAAGGCCTCACCTCGGCCACTGGAAGGAGGCTGCACTCGGAGCTACAATTGCCCTGATGTGGTTGCGCTTGGAGCTGCAGATCTGGACGTCAGGCTGAGAAGGGGCTCCAGATCCACCATGCTTGGGAGGGCCCACACGTCGTGAGGGCTGTGCTTGGGAGGGGCGGCGCACCGTGAGGGATGCGCCCAGGAGGGCCGTGTCCGGGAGGGGCGGTGCGCTGGGGGGAGGCGCCCAGAGAGCCACGCCTGGGAGGGGCCACGCGCTGAGAGGGCTGCGTCCGGGCGTCGGGAGGGGAAGCAGCGGGGCTGGGGCGACGAGAAGAGAGCTGGCGGCGGATGGGTGGAGGAGGGTTGCGGGGGTGAATGCGAACTAGAGGATAAGAGGCTTCACAGGGGTTGTGGGGATTTAAGTTTAGGATTATTTTTCTGTGCGTATGTAATTTTAATCTGTGGGTAATATAGAAACCTACAGAATAATTGATATTTTTCTGTGTGTGTGCATTGTTTTTCTGTGCGTTTTAAAAATACTCACAGAATAATTGCATTTTTTCTGTGTGTACTCTCATGCACAGAAAAATGATATAATTACCCTGTGGGTTTTCGTATTTTTCTGTCGGTATATTTTGGAACCGACAGAAAAATTACAATTTTTCTGTGTGTTCCGAAAAAAACACACAGGAAAATTCATCACCCATAGAAATATTCGAGTTTCCAGTAGTGTATTATATTTGTTTAGTTCCTGTATGGCTCCATTTGGAAATATCGTTTAAATATATAACAGGCGTGATTAGAAACATTGAATCAAAAGTAGCGCACCAACAGATGGATAGCAATTTTAGCGTAGAGCCACACTTTCCACATGGCTTTGCTTCAGAGTTCTCCTATAAATACTAGTGAAGTCCTGTCATCCTGAGCAAAGCGCTAAGTAGTTGAGCACAAGCTAGTCTTGTCATCCTTAGCCGGCCGCTTGCCTGTTAGGTGCCTTGTACAAGGGAGGAAGAGATCGATGGACGCCGGAGGTGCTGTAGTAGGTGGCCATTCAGACCAGGTTCGTTCACTCGAGTAGCCCCTTTCTCTTGCAGGTTTTCCAACTACAGTGCATGGTTCCATGGATGAACTCAGTGGAACATCAGGCTGTGAACAATAGTGCTGGATGTGACGTGTACAAAGTGACGTATGTGCATTGTTTAGGGCCAACACAAAATGACTATTATGCCCGTCACTAATTAATGACCATTTAAAAATGAGGGGCCAATATACTTCGCTTCTTAACACAAGGCCACAAGGGTAACACATGTCGTTTGGTGTCTTTCACGTTGTGTTCTCAATTTGCTTTCAATTGCTTAGTGTTAGTTTGCACCAGAACTGAAAGTATTTTTTTTCCCTATCCTCTATTTTCTAGCTTTTGGTAGAAGCGGATGGCTCGACACGGACACTTATTTTGAACAGGCCAAAGCAGCTGAATGTACTCTCCCACGCAATGGTATGTTATGACTTAAGAGGTCACTAGTATTACTTCTAGAACAGTTGGGTAGAAGATGATGACTGTTCTTTCATGTTGCAGATTAAGGGACTCCGGAGATGTTTCACAACTTATGAGAAAGATGATGGAGTTAAATTGTTGATTATGAAGGTATCTCATACCACTTTGTTTGTATTGTAATTCAATGTTTGAGGTGGTTAGTGGTCCAACATAGATGTAGGTGTCTTAGGTACTGTTTTGTGCAGCTTTGACTAGTTTCGGCTCCTCCGTGTATCAAGGAGCCGTTTCTATAATTTTTTTCTCAAAACTAAATGAACTAGAAGCTGGCTTCAGTTCCTCCTCCGATCCACTGTAGCAATGTGAAATCTATATCATTTGTTTCACTAGCTTTGGCTCCTCTGTGTACTATCACAAGAACCTGAAGCTGTTTGGAGAAATGCCAAATGAGCGTTAGTGGATTTCTCCAATATTATCAGGAAGCAAGGCAGTCACAAAATTCATGAGTTGCCCAAGCTAGCATCTCTTAGACTACATAATACATAGAGCTTAATTATTCAGTTCAGAAGCAGTTTACTCTCTTACAATATATCGCACGTGATTGGTGTTGAACTTATGAGGTGCGAACGAGGCTTGTTGCCATGCCAAGGCTTGCAAAAATGCAGGGAACATTATTTGAAAATTGAACAACTTGTATTCCAGCGATCTAATTCTACATTTGTTAAACAATCAGACTCACTATAGACTTACTTTAGCTTGCTTTTCTTTATTCATATCACACTACTATAAATGGGATTTTAGGAGACATCGTCTCTAACTAATGTAGACAGGCACATCTAGTCAGCCGCTTCTATAAATGGTCAGGCGGCTTCTAGGCAAACGTCCACCTCTGTTAATCATTTTTAGAGGTGGGCATCCTAAGATGACTGCCTCTGTTAATCGACTATTAATAATGCTGGTCATTCTAACGGTACGCTTCAAAAAATAGGTGCCTACAAAATTCATAACATTCATATGAATTCAAATCTGAACGAACTTTATACCAAAATTATAGAGCTTGATGTGATCTCCAACTTTGTGGGTGATAATTATTTATTTGAAATTTAATAGAGTCCCAAAAATTTATTTTGAGCTCTTATATTTTGGATTTTGAAATTTAAAATTTTCAAACAACCAAGGATGTTGACATGATCTAAATAAAGGTTGTAGTTCTCAATACGATCTACAATTTTATAATTAATAAGTTTTTGATATGAGGTCATTTATATCCCTAAATAGTCATTTTATGTTGTAATTTAGAAATTTTGACATCATACCAAACTTGTAGTTGTCAACACAATCTACAACATTGCAGTTGACAAGTTACATAATAAAAAACATTTAGTCTCAAATGTTCATTTTAGAATTCTCATTTTTTATATTAATTTTTTTTATAGTTTTAAACTATCTTGGGCGTAGCCACACCCTTTATCAAAATCATAGAACTCAATAAGACCTAAAACTATGTGGTTAAAACAATTTTCATTTGGAATCATTTAAGGGCTGAAATATTTAATACAAAACTATGAAATGTTGATAAAATGGATAGTATCATATCATATATATATATATACACGCACACACGTATAAATATAAATATGTGTGTGGTATAGTGGTAGAGATGCATTGTGTGTGATGAAAGGCCCTGAGTTTAACCTTCAAAGACACCTTTTTTTTTGTAGTTTCTGGAAACCATTAATAGAGGCAGGCATCTTCACTAGTGGAGAAATGAGATCTAGTCCCGGTTGGGAACTAGTTCTACTCCCGGTTTTCCAACCGGGACTAGCAATCCGGGACTAAAGATGTTGTTCTTTAGTCCTGGTTTGCCACAACCACAACCGGGACTAAAGATCCTCCCACTTTAAAAAAAATAATGACTCCCACCGCTGCGTCCCATGAGATTCGAACCCAAGACCTCATGCACTGCCTCGCGTGTAGCTTACCACCCCACCTACACAACACATCTAACAATGGATGGGATGCTTTCCTTTTGAACTAACCCATCGAGGGACCTTTAGTCCCGGTTGGTAACATCAACCCGGATTAAAAGGTCACCCTTTAGTCCCGGTTGATAACACCAACCGGGAGTAAAGGTTGGAGGACTTTTAGTCCCGGTTGGTGGCTCCAACCGGGAGTAAAGGTCTACCTTTAGTCCCGGTTGGTGTCTCCAACCGGGACTAAAGGTCCCCGCCATCGCGTTTTAGCGCGCAGAGTTGTTAGCGGGGACCTTTAGTCCCGGTTGGAGACACCAACCGGGACTAAAGGTCTCTCTAGTCCCGGGCGCAAAAAATGCCGGGACTAGAGCCCATTTTAGCCTCGGATGAAAGGTCTGTTCTCTACTAGTGCTTAACACGCTTGCGTCCATTAGTGGCACTAATAGAGGTTGCCTGCCTCTGTACTTAATGGATTAACAGAGGTTGCCCGCCACTGAAAATGGTTTTTGACGTCTCCAAAACTTCTTTATCTACTAGTGTTAGTTTACTTCTCATTTCTTGCTATTAGCTCTTTTAAATTGATACGATAATTATTATAATTTTACTGCCTACAGCAAAACCGTCTGTTGATCTTTATGTTTCTCATTGTATTGAAGCATCACTTGTTTTCAGGGGACAGGAAGAGCATTTTGTGCTGGAGGTGATGTTGCTGCTGGTGTCCAGTCAATATATAATGGTAATAACTACTCCCTCTGTCCAAAAAGTGTGCAATTCCAGATTTTGGGCAAGTCAATTTTTTTTAAGTTTGAGCGAGTTTACAGCAAAAACTATCAACATTTGTGTCTCAAATTAGGTTTATTATTCAAATATATTCTATAATCAATGTGTACTTATTCAGTATCATAAATGTTATTAATTTTTTGTATAAATTTGTTAAAAGCTAGAGTTGTTTGACTAATTGGGAGGTGAGAGTAGCATTCTTTTCAGGATGGAGGGAGTATAACTTTAGGTAGCCTCTACCATATCTAATGTCCAATGATGATTTCTTTATTAGATATTTTTCACCAGCTTCAACCTGATTTAAAACCCATGTTACATATTGTAAATAGGTCTAAGGTTGTTCCACATGCTCTGTTGACTGTGCTGTGTGTTTAATTCTTAAATCAGAAAGCTGGAAATGGGGCGCTGATTTCTTCCGAGATCAATATTTGTTGAACTACATAATTGCAACATATATCAAACCTCAAGTGAGCTTCATCGCTTCATAGTGATTGACTGTAATTATTCACTCTCTGTTTATTGGCTCTAAATGCTAGACAATTAATTTAACTATAGGTTTCTCTTCTTACTGGAATTGTCATGGGTGGAGGTGCTGGTGTTTCTTTACATGGAAGATTTCGAGTTGCCACTGATAACACGGTATATGCTAGAAACCAAACTCAAGTGACATTTTTCTCAAATTGTTACTTTTTCATATCAATTCAAGACGGGCTTAGGAAGCACAAAAAGTTCACATGTACTCATGCAGCTAGAGATCTTCCTGCATAAGGTTCTACTGAATATAAACATTCAGGCATAATATTCACAACAAAAATGAGCCAGCACTGCCTTTCACTACTTTTCCTGATGAATATTAAGGCTGGATGTTTATGATAGACTTAGTGGATCGCCTAGACATAGATCTAGCGGGTACAACCTTACAAACGAGATGAAAACTTCCTAGAACATGATCTAGAGAGAGAGAGAGAGAGAGAGAGAGAGAGAGAGAGAGAGAGAGAGAAGGGAGATGAGATGTCACCGACCATCCGCGGGCTTGGAGGAAGAGCTCGACGTAGCCATGGCGAAGGTGATGCGGTCCAGGTTGGCTGAGTCGCGGTCATGGCATTGAGGTCGGTCGCAGTGTAGTGGTGGCGCAGAGGCGGCGGTGAAGACGTAAGTGGAGCTTTCCGTCGCTTCAGCGCCTCCCTCTTAGATCGGATTAGGGTTAGGATTGTACGTGGGAGAAAGGTGGCTCAGGTGAACCTTGTTGCGCGAGCCCTAGCCTCCCACCTCCTTTATATTACGCTGCGCAACGGGGGCCCACCAACCATGGAACGGTTGGTTGCCCCCGATCAGGGCGCGGATCAAGGCCCTGACTCGGTCGTTGAACCGAGCCGAGAGGAGATCAACCTAACAGTTTATTGGATTAGGTTTCAGTTATGGTACAGACCTTTTTGTGAGCTTGATCGGTGCTAGTTGTTCTTGTACTCATTTGGAATAGGAAAAATCTTGCATTCTATTTATTGGAAAATCGTAATATTTTGAAGTGCCAAAATCTGGATCTTTAACATTTTCAATATTCATGCAGGTTTTTGCAATGCCAGAGACAGCTCTTGGTCTTTTTCCAGATGTTGGGGCCTCATATTTTCTGTCTCGGCTTCCTGGGTTCTATGGTTATCCAATACCTCCCTTCTTTATTCAGTTGAAATACATGTAGCTATGTCATTGCCACGTATTTCATATTCCAATATTTTGTTAACACTCCAGGAATATTATGCATCCTCGTATTCTTCTTTACTTCAGTTTTGTACCATATGCTTATTTCATTTTTAGCAAGTGTGATTCTTGTGCAAATGATCTATGCAATTATGTAACTGATCATTGAGATATAGTCATATAAGAAAATGAAAGTGACAAACTTTCTTGTTTTCTATTTGATTTATTGGTTCCATTATGTTAATTAGTTGTACTTAGTGAGGTAGCCTTCTAGATGGTGGTAAGGGTAGCTTGGGAGATCTTGTTAACTAAAACATTATCTTAATTTTCTTTAGGAGAGTATGTTGCCCTTGCTGGTGCCAGATTGGATGGTGCTGAAATGCTTGCATGTGGTCTGGCAACTCATTTTGTCCCTTCACATGTAGGTTCACTTGTAACTCAAATTTTAACTGAGCTGCCAAATTTTCTTCCAGTTATGATGTTTGCTGTCATATTTATGGTTATTTTGTTGACAACATGCTAATATATAAATCCTGACCTTATTGATAATAGCATTTGCACATACGCTTTCAATTTTTGTTCGCTTGCATCATTAAGGTTGTGTATGTGGTATATCTGGACAACTCTAAATAAATACTTTTGTTTCCCAGAAGATGCTATTGCTGGAAGAATCCCTTAAAAAGGTGGACACCTCCAATAGTTTTTGTGTGTGTAGCACTATCGATCAATTTGCTCAACAGCCATCACTGAAACAAAAAAGTTACTTGAATAGGTAAGGGTGTTCCTGATTGACCGACTGAAATATGCCTGATTCTCAATTTCACTATTTTTTCACTCTGACGCACCACAGGTTGGAAATCATCAACAAATGCTTTTCTAAAAGAACAGTTGAAGAAATCATATCCTCTCTTGTAAGTTTGTTACAGTAACTGTAGGTTTCTATGGGTTCACTTGTTATTTTGTGAAAAATTAATAAATGTATGTTTGTTATGTCAGGAGCAAGTGGCCTCAAATTTGGCTGATGAATGGGCTGCTGAGACAATTCAGTATCTGAAAAAGGCTTCTCCTACTAGTCTGAAAATCTCTCTGAGATCGGTATCCGTTATAAACCACACCCCATATTTGTACTATTAACATACATCCTCAGTTGTCTCCACCAGAATATAGTTGTTTCATTATTTGTTTTGTAACATGGAATTCAGATAAGAGAAGGGAGAACACAAACTGTTGGGGAGTGCTTGCAACGGGAATATAGAATGGTTTGCCATGTCATACGTGGTGACTTTTCTCGAGACTTCTTTGAGGTAATTAAATATGGACATCATCAACACTTTGCTCTATACTTTGTTGTCATTGCACAGCAATGTCTTTGTACCTAACATCCAATTCCCATTACAGGGATTCAGGGCGATACTAGTAGATAAAGATAAAAATCCGAAGGTTCAGATAATTTCATATTTAGCATGTCTTCATCAAAATATATTGCTCAATGCTTAATTTCTGATTGGAACCATTGGATAATGGTGATGTTTTTTTGGGGAGCTTGCAGTGGATGCCTCCAAGGTTGGAACAAGTGCATGATGAGGCAGTCGAAGAATATTTCTCAAGAATTGATGATCCACAATGGGAAGATTTGAACCTACCTCCCAGACATTCCCATGGAATTATTTTTGACTCCAAACTTTGATGGAACTGTTTGGCGAAGAGTCTAATGGAGCCTCAATTATTGTCAGAATAGCACATCATGTAATGTTTGAAGAGTGTGTGTAGATTGATGACTGCTGCTAAAATAAAACTGAATATGTTGGTATAGGCCAACTTTTATCGCAGAAGATACACTTTGTTCTTTAATTTATAGGGCTACACAATATCAGCTAGCTTATCTCGTTTTGCCACTCGAGCTAGCGCGTTTATAGCTCACGAGCCACGGTAATACACTACTACAATATATACTATATGTCGGGGGTTCATAACCATGGCTAGTTAGTGGGTTGATATGTGGGACTTCACTGGTCTGCATTCAAGACACAAAGAGCTTATCCTGGATCGAGCTTCTGAGCCCTATGTCCAGCAGTGAGTTCTTCGTGTTAGAATGCTCAAGCGAGTCCTTACAATGAGAGGGTAGAGGAGCACTAAGATAGTTCTAATCTAGGGCTGATCGTTGTGCTGCACATTGAATTGGATTGAGTCGAGTCTCATCTGATCAAATCCCGTCTCCAGGAGCCCTTTGCCCTACCTTATATCTCGAAGGGTGAGGGAAGTACAAAGAGGTTGGCTTTTGAAGCTCCCTTGGTGACCAAGGAAACTGTAGGGTTTCATATTTGTAATATTCGGATCATAGGCAACATCTGGCGTCCTCTCCTTCATTGTTGTAGACGATAGCACTGGAACCATCCCTGATGTCACCTCCGGAAGCCTGGCACCAATCGTTAGAGCCTGGAATTGCCGTTCTATCCTCCCCGGGTCCGCCCTCCCCTTGGCGTTCGCCGCACGCCTTCGGGGGAGAAACCACCCCTAGACAGACTGATGTGAGGGCCTCGGTTTCTTCCCTTCCAAGGATCAGAGAGGGAGCGTGCCCTATTGTCAACCTGTGTCACGCCACGGGCATGACCCTTTGTCAGAAATGGCCAACAGAGCCTCGGAGCTCTGGCTGGGGGATGGGCGCTGCTACTCCGCCTGCATGTCAGTCTCTTGGCGTGTGTCAGGACATGCCACAAGGTTCCCTACGTCGCTGCAGGCAGAAGGTCAGGAGTGCGACAGGGCATGGGGGGCCGTCTCTGCCATGTCATCTTGGTCGTTTGCCCGGGCCGGGAGGAGTTAGCTAGGGCTCCAGGGTGCCGGATGCTCGAGCTACACAGGTAATCATTATCACTTTTAGTTCTTCAATTGAAATCAATGGCAATAGGTAATCACTGCCAGTTTCAGAACTACCAATTAAGCCATGTAATTATTGGGAACCTCTTGAACAAGCACTAAATATGGTTATCACTACCAGTTTTAGATACTAAACGGAAGTGTTATAGTACTGCCGGTTTAAAAAACAAATACACAGTAAAAATAAAAAATACCATTGCAGGTTTGTTGTGCAACCCAACAACTGGCCCGTTACTAGCCCTTGACTCGCCCTCAAATATAAGATCAGATCGACATTGGAGATCACCAAGCAGTGAATACATAAATCCTCACCCTTGCACACTATTGGGTCCACTGATTGGGCCAATTAACTATCTAGCATCCGTATAGGTGGCAAATATTATATTTAACTATTTACCATTTTTACAGCACTACTGGAGACGGCCTCTTTGCCGAGGGCTTCTGGGTTTGCCGAGGGCTAGATCTCGGACACTCGGCAAATGGGGTCTTTGCCGAGGGCCAGCCCCAGGAGCCCTCGGCAAAGCTAGGCCCTCGGCAAACAAACGGCCCTCGGCAAAATAAATCTTTGCCGAGGGCCTAGCCCTCGGCAAATTGGCCCTCGACAAATATGGCCAGATGGGTCACGGCGGCCACTAGCGTCAGTCTTTGTCGAGTGCCCGCCGTCAGGCACTCGGCAAAGATTTTTTATTTTTTTTAAATATTCTTTGCCGAGGGCCATTGGCCGGGCCCTCGACAAAGATTTTTTATTTTTCTTAAATATTCTTTGCCGAGGGTCATTGGCCAGGCCCTCGGCAAAGACCCCCTTTGCCGAGGGCCAGGCTAGACCCTCGGCAAAGAGTTTTTTTTTGGTTTTTTGAACCTAGTTTTTTTGTAGTGCTATAATACATTATTTAAAACTCAATTTTAAAATTTGGGCCAAATTTGACTTTTTTTATATATTTCCCTAATTTATTTCTTTTCGTTGATGTTTTTCGAATATTTTAAATTTGAACTGCAGGTGGATGGAATAATTCAATTTAGTGATTCAAAAAATGTTATTCATGGTATTTAGTGTATGTTGAGTCCCTATCCACGAACTCGCATAAAATTTGGGGCATCTTCTTCACGCAACATGACGAGAAACTTGTCGAAAAAGTGTTTTTAAATTATATAAAATCCATACGAAGTCCGAAAATCATGAAACTTGTCGAGGTGTCATGTTATCGCATATGTAGGCTGTGGTAAAAATTTGAGAAGGTTTCGAGCAAGTTGTGACGTCGGATGCCTAAAACCCAGACATCTCCAGATGTGATCACAACTTGCTCGAAACCTTCTCAAATTTTTACCACAGCCTACATATGCGATAACATGACACCTCGACAAGTTTCATGATTTTTGGACTTCATATGGATTTTATATAATTTGAAGATACTTTTCCGACAAGTTTCTCGTCATGTTACGTGAAGAAAATGCCCGAAATTTGATGCGAGTTCGTGAATAGGGACTCAACATACACCAAATACCATGAATAACATTTTTCGAATCACTAAATTGCATTATTCCATCCACCTGCGGTTCAAATTTAAAATATTCGAAAAAAATCAACTAAATGAAATAAATTAGGGAAATATATAAAAAAAGTCAAATTTGGCTCAAATTTTAAAATTGAGTTTTGAATAATGTATTATAGCACCACAAAAAAACTGGGTTCAAAAACCCAAAAAAAAATCATTGCCGAGGGCCTAGCCTGGCCCTCGGCTAAGGGGGTCTTTGCCGAGGGCCTGGCCAATGGCCCTCGACAAAGAATATTTAAAAAAAAAATTCTTTGCCGAGGGCACTGGATCTGGGCCCTCGGCAAAGGGCCCAACCCTAAATCGGCCAGCGGCCCAAATTCCCCGCCCACGGACAGAAAAAAAAATTTTGCCGAGGGCCTAGCCTGGCCTTCGGCAAAGGGGGCCTTTGCCGAGGGCCTGGCCAATGGCCCTCGGCAAAGAATATTATTAAAAAAATAAAAAATCTTTGCCGAGGGCCCTGGATCTGGGCCCTCGGCAAAAAAAACCATGCGTCATCGGCCAATGACCAAATCCCGCCCACGTAACCACATGCCACCGCTGCTGCTTGCTGGCCACTGCACCACTGCCCCCAGCTGCCCACAGAAGCCCGGCCGGCCTCCCCTGCCACCCCCACCACCACAGCAGCCTGCCTGCGCCACCCGCCACCACCACCACCACCCCCACAGTGGCTCCACCACCGGGCCACGCCCGCCACCACGCCCCCACCACGCCTCACACCACCCCCCACCACCCCCACACCGGCCTCCTCCCTCCGCCCCTAGTGCCACCCACCGACGCCGCCCCACTGCCCTAGAGCCGCCCCGGCCGACCCTCTGGCGGTCCCCCGTGCCGGCCTTCCCGTCGCTCCCACGCCGGCCTCCCCGCCCCGACACCAGCCCCCAGGCCTCCCCCATCGCCGGCTGTTGTTGGAGGGGAGGAGGCAGAGGGTGAAGTAGGAGGAAGAAGAGAAGGAGAAGAGGAGAAGGAGGAAGGGGAAGAGAAGGAGAATCCGACGCCGCTCAACCTCGCCAGAGAAGAAAGTGACCCCCGCACCGCGACGCCCGACTCCACCGCAACCCTAGGTAAAACTCTCGTTATCGGCCTTCGTGTCGTATGTGGTTGTGTGGGCCTTCGTGCTGTAAATTGATATGAGGGCCTTCGTGCCGTTGTGGTTGTCGGCCTTCGTGCCATTGTGAATGTCGGCCATCCTGTCATTTTTTGCAGGTTTTGGAAACCTCCCTGTGCAGGGGAGTTGCTGCCAAAATTTTGAACAAACAATAACCTATTGCCTTTTTATGCAGGAGAAGAGCATGTCGGAGGGGACCCAGAGGACCCCAATCGTCTTCGTCGGCATCGCGGTTCTGCCTGCACTGCGTCGCCTCGCCACTGCGTCGACTCGCCACTGCCCCACTAGCCTGACTTCACCGACACCCTAGGTATAAAGAACCTCTTTTTCCGCATGTCTGTCGTAGCCTGCGGAACCCTAGTTAGGCGTCTCCCGTTCGAAAGAGATACGGTCGTAGGTATGCGGATCTTTGCATATCTGCGACTGTATCTGTTTTGGATTGTCCACGTTTTTTGGACAGCCCGCGGATGCGTAGATGAGTTAGTTTCCATGGTTCGCTCCAGTCCGAGACAGAGTTTTGGCATCACCTCCTATTGTTCTCCGAATACACACTCTAACTGGAAGGATGTGTATCGGGAGAACAACGGGGAGGTGCTACCGAAATTCTATCTCGGAGAGGAGCGGAGCCTAGAAACTGACCTCATCTACGCATGCACGAGTGGGATTAGGACCTATGCTCACCTATTAGACATTAGGAACACCGCATAGATGCAATTGATGGTCACAATACTCTGTGATATAAATGTTAAAGGATGGAGGACCGTCAGTGGATGTACACGGGCTGGAGAAGCGGCAGTGACTATGACTATGAATGGGTGAAGGGGACAGATCGTTTCTTGAAACATGCATTTGGCCCAGGAGCAGGAGGACATTCTCTAGTTTGGTGTCCCTGCAGCAAATGTGACAACAGGAGAAAGGTAGACGAGAAGACCATGGGTAGACATCTTGTGTTCAATGGTTATACGCCTGGCTACCAGCAGCGGATCTACCATGGTGAAGCAGATCGTATAAGAGCGGAGGTGGTGAGAGCACGCCTCGAGGCTTTTGATGATGATGCCGGGGTAGCAGACATGCTAGATGACGCCCACCAAGCTCACTTCGCTGAATGACGTGAGAAGGAGGAGATGGAGGAATCCGTAAAGGACTTCTACAAAA